ATTATCTCGTGTCTTTTTCTCTCATTTGTTGTGCGGCTCCTCTTTCAGATACCGAACCCTACTCCATGCAGAACGTGGAGGGAGTCTTACTCGACAATCCCTCCTGTCGTGAATGACAAAGGGTTTGAAATTAAATAAGCTCTACCTCCTATTTGGGTGACTTTGGACAAATCACTTTACTTCTGAGTATTAATTTCTTCTTCTATAAGATAAACATAGACACTATCATCCCATCTCTCTTAGACTCTAAGATAACATATGGGAAAGCATTTTATCAATTAGAAAGTCATGACTAATTTTAGTTAAGACTAGATAAGATTCTCTAAAGTTATGTAATGAACCACACAAATTAGGAAAAAGATATAATCTCTCATCATCTACCAAAAGTACTCTAGCCAAGACTACCAATGAGCATTGATCTCCCATATGCTTAAAACCAAAGATCTTTCTTAATAGTCATCTGGCTCAATCTATCAGCAGCACTTGACACAGAGGATCTTTCTTCCTCCTGAAGACACTGGGCTTCAACTTCCCACTATTCTTTACCTGCCCTTTCTCATCTTCCCCACTTCTAAACCTGGAGGGCCCCAAGGCTTAGTATCTAGACCTCCTGTCTTTCTATACTCATTCCCTTAGTGATCTCATCTAGGCTCACGGCTTTAAAGAGCATTTAATTTCTTCCAGCTCACTAATTCGTATCTCTAGATTTCTTCCCTGAAAACCAGACTTGTGTATTAACCTGTCTAGATGCTTAAAATATATCTTAATATTAATGTGTCCAAACTGAGCTCTGGTCTCTTGCACCCCAAGACCCCATTTCATCTCAGTTAATGGGCATTCTGTCTATTTAGGTGCTCATACCAAAAGTCTCAGAATCATACTTGACTTTGCTTCTTTCTTTCATAATTCCTATCCACTTCTCCAGAAAATCCTCCAGCCAAAATATCTTCAGAATTCAACCCCTTCTCACTACCTCCATGCTACTTTTTCCCTCATCCAAGTAGCCGTCACCTCTCACTTGATAGCTGAAATAGCTCCCTAAATGATCTTCCTGTTTCTGTCCTTGTCCACTCTGATTATCTCAATCCACCAGCCAGAGCCACCATGTTACAACATGACTTATATCACAACAATCATTGTTTAAACCTCCAATGGAATCCCCTATCCCTGAGTGAAAAATCCAAAGTCCTCACAATGGCCTTTAAAGATCCATGTGATTGCTCACCATATTCCTATTTCCTCTATGACCACATGTCTTACCACCGTCCCTTTTGCTCATTCCACTCCAGCCAATGTGCCCTCCTTGCTTTTCCATTGATTTACTAGGCACATGCCATGCCTCTTCCTGAATGTTCTTCTACCCAATATCTCTTAGCTAATTCATTCACTTCTCTCATGGCATTCCTGAAGTGTCACCTGCTTCATGAAGTCATCACTGGCCATCCCTCTGAAAATTGCAACTCCTTCCCTTCCACTCCCTATCTCCCTTTCCTGCTTTATTTATTTAATAGTAGTTGCTGCCTTTTAACATATATTTTATTGTCACTAGTAAAAGCTCCAAGAGTGCAGGGATTTTTAGTTCTTGTGCATCCTCAGTGCGTAGAACAAGTCCCAGCACATAGAAGCCACTAAATAAATATTATTTAAAAGAAAGAATAAGGAAAAAGTGATTAAACAGAGTTGGTTTCATAGTTTCATGATATATGTTTCTAGACAATGATAAGCAGAACTACCATCAAAGTACGTAGAAATGATTGGAATTTTAAAATCATCAAATTTGAGGCTATGAAGAAGAAATCAATGTGAATTTGGGAACACCTATTATACCTAAACAAACTCATAGCAAATAATTAAGTAGAAATGGTACTCAAAATATAGCAAAATATTCAGGTGATCACCTCCTAGACTTAATATAAAGTTCAAAGACAATAAGTGCTTTTTTATTTACTTATTAAATGCTTAGTATGTATTGTATTCATCATTTTTAGATGGCACATATGAATGTTTAGATTTGCTTCCTATGTAAATTAAGTGCAAATACTTTGGTAGATTGTTCTGATTTCAGTAATTCAAATTAATCCACATCACTGAGCAGTTTTAAATAACCAAGACTGTAAAATTTGGTATTTACAGTAAAGTTATTAAGCATATTTGGTTATAATTTAAGAATTAGCATCACATATCAAAATATAAAGGAATTTATCACTTTAAAATCTATAATTACAAATCATTATATTAGTAGGTGCTATACTAATAATATAATCTTCTGATTAAAATACATGTGGTCCACAAACAAAGTTTTAGATACATCTGGGGGGGAAATATTTTTTCATTTAAACATTAACTGATTTCATATTTTTCTTCTTAACATTTCCGGACAACTCTTCGCTGGTAGATTACAAATGAGAAGAAGCAATACCTTAACATTCCCATCAGAAACTTCCTAAGGGTAAATGAATATAATTTTCATCAAACTAAATAATCACTCAGAGAAGGCAATGTATCTTGCTAAATTACAAATCTAGAAAATGAAAACCCAGGACTTAAACTTCATTTCACGATGATAATGCTAGTCTTCTAAGTGTTGTTTATACTAACTGTGAGTTTTCTATTTAAATAAAGACCATTCTATAAAACCAATATCAGAAAATGTGTTCAATAGTTTTTCATTTCCTCATCAAGAAACCACTGAATCGCCACTTTATACGATAGCTGAAAAGTGAATAACAAAAATTTTAAAACTATATCTAAACCTACTCATCATGGATAACATTGAAAATAGAGAAATCAAGTAAATCCATTCTAGAAACTTGCTATTATCTCAATTCACAGAAATTTCTATAAGGAAACAGAAGGACTCAAAATCCCAAGATGAAGCTACGACCTTCAGCAACATGCTTACACTTGAGCTATGTTACATGATCTCAAAACAGCCAGCCAGAACCACCATGTGACAACACTAATTACATCAGAGCAATCATTGTTTAACCCCCCCAATGGAATCTTCTACCCCTGAGTGAAAACTCCCAAGTCTTCACAATGGCCTTTAAGGATCCATGTGAATTGCTCACCATAGTCCCATTTCCTCTTTGACCACATCTCCTACCACATGCTTACACTTCATAAATGTTTGTCAAAGTGAATTAATCCACGCTTAACCGGATAAAAGACTTGAACTGAACCTATTTTCAGAGAAAAACATTTAAATATGTAAAAAATTCTATCCAAATTGACTTCGAATATTTCAGTGAATATTTTTGGTTAATGTGGCTTGAAATCTGTAAGGCAGTCAACAAAGAAAGTTGAGAGTACCAAAATGTCACTAATTTATTCCAAAAGGCAATGATCATACCTTTTATTATATGACTAGAGATACTTAGCCCTCTCTTACGTTTTTTTCTTACATATACTCTTTTGAAAATGAGATAAGTGTTATGATCCCCACTTACAAGTCAGGAGACTGAGACCCAAGGAAGCCACGTACCCTGGCAAATGGATCATGGTAAGTAGTTGCCTTGGCTGGGATTCAAATTCAGGTCTTTTTATCCCAAAGTCTATTTCTAAACCTCGGGGCCTAACTCTGGATGGCCATTAGAACAAATTCAAACATACTCACTTTAGACATTTGTAGGCAAAACACTTGAGGAGAAATAATACTGCACTATCTACCCCCCCAAAAAAATATTCCAGCAGATAAACTTCTGTTGAAAACATTTGAAGAACTCTGACATTTCCATACAGCACACTTTGCCAAAAGTATACTTTACAGAAAATGTAAAACATATTTCCTCAACTAATATTCCAAGTTATGAATTCACACAAAATAATTATTAACACGCATGAAATTATCCACCTCAGTAACTCTATTGTTCAATAATTTAAAAAGAAACTTCACAAGGGAGGATGCACCTTAATTATAGGAGTAATGAGCAAATCACATAATCTTAAAGGTAAAATATGTCTTAAAGTTTCTTTTCCTTAATCTTCATTTTATAGTTGATAAGTTAAAGTTCAAGAAGATTAAGTAGCTTGCCCAAGTTTATACAACTAAAAAGAAATCCTAATAGTTTTTTACTTGTAATAGGGTATAAGTATTTCTGGTTCTTAATTGTCTTCTTTTACCAGACCTGAACATTTGTCAAAGTAATATATTAATGATAGTTGCCATCTATACCATTTAAAATATCCTTTAAATTGAGTCATTTTGAGAATCAAATCTTACAACTTCAATCATTTCAAAGTAACGTATTTTAAACAAAAGAAAACTCTCACTTTCCATGGCAAACAAGGAAAGTTAAACAAGGAAAGTAAATACTGCATCGAAACACTTATATTACCAACAGTATTTATGTGAACTTTTAATTGCTTTCTCATAGGGGTAGACAAAAATGAATTGTAAGACTTAGAAGTGGGACTAGAAGACTCTTAATGAATGTTATAAAAACTTGATGTATTCCATTAAGACTAAACATACTCACAGGCTCTTTGCTATTACACTGTCAAGTTTTCATTCTGTGAGAACTTGTACTTAATATTGACTCCCAGTTATTAGGAATTCATTTACTTCTGGTTAGTTTTGGATTTTGTTTACCAGAATGAAATATCAAAAGTGAAAAAAAATAATAATGCAAACCCCCAAAGTTCTGCTAACGTAGAAACAACGCTACCATATTTAAAGACAAAACCAATCATAGACAAAATAAGGCATTTGCATATTGGACCCATCATTGTTATACAACTTTCCTTAGTGACAACATAATCCACATTCATTTGTGTGCTAATGGTGAAGAGCACATTGTAAAACTGATAAAATTTCATCGAAAGTACTCGAATCCTCATTCCAAATGAAAAAGAACCTACCAACACCAGTTCAAAACAAGGGAATCTGAAGTCATAAATCACTGTGATCAGGCAAAACTCAAAATAACTAGGCCAGGCTCTAATGGCATTAGCACCAGCCCCAGAATGAAGCACTTGTGGGCATTTAAAAAGAAAAGTACCTTTCAGGTGGAGAATTCCCAGTGATCACGTTGCAGTAATCCACATAGGGAAGGCAGCCTAGAAATTCCAACGTTTTAACTTTTAAGTAACTCCAAACAAAGAAGTGTGATAACTTTTCCTCCAGCATCGGCGTGACGTTGTGTTGGTACTTCCATAACGTTCACTGATAGGAAGATCCCGAAGGAGCAATGCACTGCGTGATGCTTTCTAGATGCTGATAATAATAATTACACCTGTACAATTAAAGTTAATTAATGTTAGCTTCCAGGTCATTCAACACAGTTTCTTTAAAAAATGTAACCGTACAATTATATTTCAGTCTTTGACATGAAAATTCAAAACTACATAGTTCTGGCGCTTGAATCCTTTCTGGCTGCAAGTTTTAAATAATGGGTACTTCTCTACAAAAGCATGACTTTAAGAAGTTAAAATAGACTGTGTTTGGATGTTTCATTTATCACGTCTAAGTGCAAAGGTGGGGAAGTCCAAGGCTGTGAGGAAAGCTCTGGTTCTAGGGTGGGGACAGGAGAGGAAAGTGGAGCTGGTAATAAATTACCTTGGTGTTTGGAATGATCGCATTAAACATACCTGAAGGTAATGACCTAAATTTGCATTGTCGGATTCAAGAAGCCTGTTCCGCACATTCCCAATATTTCAACCCATCCTAAAAGCTAAACCATACTACATTTGCCCCCTTTCAACAAACTCCCAACTGCTGTCCCTGAATGTTTTTTTCTATTTACCAAGTGACAGGACCAATAAACAACTTTTGTGGGAAAGCGAGAAATCGCTGAAAGAAATTTCATATAAAGTGGAGATGTTTACTAGCTGCAGAGTGGTTGCTTCATCTGAGCAAGAACCAACCTGGAAACACTGCAAAGGGAGGCTACTTGGAAACAAAGTTACTGAGTCTCCCTTTGCCTATAAACACGGAGGAGATTGCGCTGCCCCGGCCCCCGCAGGAGCAGCCACAGCCATCCCTCCTTGGGGCGGGCGTGGCAGATAGAAACAAAAGGTTAAAACACAAAAGGCGGGCGGAGGGCAGGGTCTGGGGATCTTCCAGGACTCACGTTCTACTTTCAGTTCAAACACATTGAAATGGAGGGGGACGACGGAGGGGAGTAAGAGAGCTGGTGACGGGTCCCAAGGACAGCATAGGTTATTCTGGGTGGGTGGGTGGTGAAACTCAGGGGCGCAGGGGATGGCCGACTCTAACTAGTGGTCCAGGCCCCATCCCTCCATCCTTGCATCTCTGACAGTCTGGAACCTGTGGCTTCCCCCACCTACCCCAGCCCCAAATAAATCTTCCCAGAACTCTTACCTGTTTGCTCTAACCCCTGGACCACAAACACAAGAGTCCACACCCTTCCAACCCAAATCTTTTCTGCATTCTATTGTTTCAGCTTTGGCATTGTGCGTTAGATCTCCTGGCGCTCCGCAGACAGTTAAGTTATAAAACGGTGAGAAAGGACCCTCCCCCGCGCCCCCCCCCCCCAACACCAGCTCCGTATCTTTTTCTTTTGCATGACAAAGTCTGGGCGAGGTGGGGGTGAGACTGGACAGACCCCATCCATTTCAGCGCGTTTTCCCCGGTGTGCGCGCAACTGGGGGAAGGCGAGGCAATGCCCCCTTGTTTGCTATTCCCTTCCTCCCACCCTCCAGCACCTCATAGAAAGAGGCACTTGAGATAAATGCCTGCTTGGCTTCTGCCTATTAAAAATGAACAAATAAAACCATCTCTGCAAGTTCGTTAAAGAACAAAAGAGAAGGGTGCGCGGAAAGGAGGCACAACTTTCCAGCCAAACTTCGTCACTGGACGACGACTCTGTCCTCCAAGGGCGGGGAGCCGGGCGCATGAAGGAGAAGAGAGGTAAACAAGACAACAGTCTTCCACTCACCTTCCTCCCACTTGGTCACAATTTTCAGAGACGTTCCCCTGTTGCAGTCCGAGAGGCGCGCGGACACTTTCGTGTGGCCTGACAGCGCAGAAAGTCGTGGCGGCAAAGTTGTGAGAGGGAGATACCCGGGCGTCCGGGGCGAGGGGAGGAGAGTTCATCAGAGTTCCCCCCTTTGTTCCCAGTCCCGGAGCAGACAAAGAGGCGGCGAGCGGCGGCAGGTTCTCCCTCTCACCCCTTCTTCCTCTCCCCTCCCCTCCTTCCCTCCCTCCCCGCCCCCTCCCTCCCCGCATCTCCCGCCCAGCTCTCGAATCTCCGAGACGCTGGGGCCGCGCAGTCCCCAGCTCCACGCCATTCGACCCGACCCAATCCTCCCACCACCTCGCTCCAACTTTCCCCGGAGATGCCGGTCCCGGTCCCCTCCCTCCGCACCGCCTCCTCCCGAACCCGCTCAAGTCTGCGAAGGGGAATCTCCAAAATCATTGTTTCCGGGAGATGCGCCTCTTTGTTCGCACTTTCCCTGCCAATCAACGTGAACAATCCACTTTGGCATCGAGTTTCCGTCAGTTTTTCATCATCCCACTAGACAAAATGCGAAGGGCAGAGGGTCAACCCCAGAAGATACAGGCGGTTTACACGATCAGAGGTGTGGCGCACCCCAGGCTTTCCATCCTTGTTCTTCCCCCCGCATTCACCCCTCCACCCAGCACACCGAAACAACCCAGAGGGGTTCCAGGCGTTGGAACGCACTCCTCCCCCCGCGCACCCCACCACGCAGTCCCTTGGGAGAGCCCGCTCCTCCTCGGGACAAAGCCCAGCTCCAGGGTACCTGTTGCTGCTGGCGCTGCGCAGCTCGGTCCAGGGACTGGAGAGCGGATCCCCACCTGGACGTCGCGCCCACCTCTCAGCCTCAGATTTGCCTGAGCCTCGATCCGCGACGGCAACGCTCTGGATGGCCCCACGTTCCTTCTGACCCTGGAGCCAAGCGCTCCTCTCCTGCTTCCTTCCCTACGCCACTGCCTTGTCCTCACCCCAAATATCTGACTCTGGGCCCCTGGCCGCCTCCCATCCGGTACCCCTGGCGCGGCCCAGGCGAGCATCCCCTCTTTCCGTCCCCTCCCTCAGCGCCGGGGAAATCAGGTGACCGGACCAGGGACAGCTACAGACCCTTCCTCAGGTCTCTTACCAGTCGTTCCCCGAACTTCAGAATTGGGGACCCTACCCACACCTCCCCCCCATCTTTAGACCCTCATCCCGAGTGCGGCCCACAGCACTGGCTCTCTGAGTGACTCAGAGCAGCGCTAATAGTTCTTGTATGAACATCTCACTAGAATTGAAAAGGAAGAAAGCCGAGACGTGGGGAAAATAGGAGAGAATGGGGACCCGAGTGGGGAAACAGTTTGTAGGGCAAAGGAAAAACCCAACTTCCCAAAGCAAATACCCACCCTCCAGGAGGTACCGCAGAGCGCACCTTCGCTTAAACCCTCTTTCTCATCCTAGACGTGGGATCTTGGTGGGATGGTGAAGTTTGGGGTAATGGGTTGGGGTAGAGGAAGGAGGTTTGGGGCCTTGGGAGCAGTGCCAGGGTAGGGGTGGGGGTGGGGGAGATGCCAGAAGGAGGAGGTGGGGAGGAAGCAAAGAGCCCCTGCTGGGTCCGGAATGTCGCGGCTGGCGGTCCCCTCTCTCGCCTGGCGACTCCTGGCCAGGTCAGTCCCCCAGCGCAGAACAAAGGAGCCGCGAGGAGGGCTTCTGTCCTCGCCTCCGGAGATAGCCCCAGCCCTGAGCTCCGCTTGCGAGAGCCCACTCCTCGCTCAGAAACTTTGCAACCAACTTCTCCCGGAGTGAGCGCGCGGGGCGCGGGGTACAGAAGGACAAACGGGGTCTACCGCATCCCGAGACCAGAGATGCCCGCTAGCTCGTCCTCCAGCCGGCCGGCCGGGCGACCCCTGGTGCAGGGGTAGGGGGCCACGCGCTCTCCCCGCTCCCTTAGAAGAACGAAACGAGTTTCTTTAGTTTGGCCGCGCGCAGCGCTGGGCAGCGGGGTCGGGAGAAACAGGCGGCAAACAGAAGCGGGCGTGGGGAAGGATCAGGGCAGCGATTCGGACCTGGGTGTCAGGCTCCGTGCGGCAGTGAGCGCGCGTGGGAGCCGCGCCCGTCGGGCCGGGTTCCTGCGCGCGCGTCCCGCCCTCCGATCTCGGCGAGCAGCTGCCAGGCCTCGGTTGGAGTCCGGACGCCCGGCCCGCCTCCGTGAGCTTGAGCCTTCTCAGCTGCGGGACCCAGGCACCTGCGCCCCTCTTCCTGGAGCCCTGGGTCTCCTGGGCAGCTACTCACCTATTGGAAGCCCAGAAGCCTCATCTTGGGTTAGGGATCCTGAACGCACCACACCAACCACAAAGACAAAACAGCCCCCACCCACTCTCGTCTGGCACATTTTCCTCTTTGTTTAATTATGACTTCCAGAATTCTCTGTTGAGGAGAACTGTACCCTCCCCCAAACAAAACCTCACTTTCCCCTATCCTCAGGGATCTGCTTTCTAGTCAATTTTATTCTGCTACCTCTGGAAAATACTCGAGGTTAGGGTCAATCAACCAAGAGCCGCTAACTTAATAATACTCACTACTCCACTTCCTGATGTAGTATACTAATTGAACCTTAAAACATTATCAAACCTTTGACAATATCTACTGCTTGTTTCTCTTTTCTTAAGGAATGAGGAGTAAGGCCCATCTGCTAGGTGAAAAGTCCAGGTGGCTTGAAGAAGGCTTTCTCCCTGCTTCCTGAGACACACCTGCCAGCTGCCCGAGGCACCTCCCTTTCCCAGCCAGCTTGTGAACAAAGCCACTTCTCCCAGGAACCTTGGTCCTTAGCGGGTCAGAGCTCCCCCACCTCCACTCTCGGGCCACTCTGTGGGTGACCTACCCACTGCTACTTTTTAAAAAGATGGCATCTTTTCTCAGATGCCAACACATTTTAAATATTTCTTCAAAAGTTAACGTCTAGGCTCAACGATGGATGTGTCAGAGAAAATGGGCTTAGAAGCCCAACTACCGGCACTGGCAATGTTGGAGCCTCACTTGGGGCCGCAACCTCTGTCATTCCTACCCACGGACCAATGGCATCTTATGGTAAGTCTCTCCCCTCTGCTTCTCTGATCAAGAGCTTCTTCGGGCCGCCAGACCCCACTTCACCAGTCCAGGGGTGCTGGCTGAAAATGCCAGGTAGTTTCCGGCTTCAAGGAATCGAGGATGGGAGTGGGTTTAAAATTTCCCTAGCCCAGCTGGGTTGGCTCAGAGGTTGAGTGTCGACCTATGAACCAGGAGGTCATGGTTCGATTCCCGTCAAGGCATATGCCCGGGTTGCGGGCTTGATCCCCAGTGTGGGGCGTGCAGGAGGCAGCCTACCAATGATTTTCTCTCATCATTGTTGCTTCTCTCTCTCTCTCTCTCTCTCTCTCTCTCTCTCTCTCTCTCTCTCTCCTCCCTTTCTCTCTGAAATCAATAAAATAAATAAATTAAAATAAAATCTCCCCAGATTCCCTACCTATAGGTAGGACTATACAGGCAAAGTTCATTACCTTGCACTTCACAGCTCTTGCCTTTATTTTTACAAAGTGAAGGCAAGACCCTCCACCAGCAAAATGGTTAAGACGCACTTTACTGTGTTGGCCTGGAACTGATCCTACAATAAAGCCAGTGTGCTTGTATTCAGTTGTATTCTACACGGTATCCCAGAGGTCCCCAACTTAGAGCCTCGGTTGCCTACAGCAGTAGCCTGCTCTTTAAGGAACCTCGTGTTGGTCTCTTCCTTACCTGTCTCAGTCTCCTTCCGGTGTTTTCTGAGATCACATCCTAGTCAGACTACAGTATTTGCCCTCCATTCCTGGTCTCACCATCCGCTTCTGGGAAACTCAACCTGAAACCTCTCACATATGTGCTTTCTAAAGGGAGGGATCTGTTCTATTGGGAGACTGCAGTTATGAGGTCAGATTTCCCCTAGAAAGGATGTTATTTCTGTAATGAAGAAAGTTTGAATTATCTAGTTCATTTTCTATGAAATCGTTTAAAATTAGATATTTTACTGAATAAAGTACAGAAGCAACCGTACGTTGAGTTGTATCTCATGTGTGACATTTTTGTACACAAATTCATAACAATGCCAGCAAACAGCAGTGAAGCTGCAAATAGGACTAGGATCACCTAAAATGAGTTAGAAGTAACATACTGGGCTTTGATTGAGCCTCCGATGAGAATGGAAGAGGATGATAAACAACACATCTCATACAAAGCCCTGGTGTGACCTCGTCAATACTATTTTCAGTGAGACATCCTACAGTGCTCTTCACCAAACTTCTCAGTGTAAATTGACCTGGTATTGCAACATAGTTTTATATAATATATGAAATTATATATTAAATTGTATTCTCCTTAGTCACCATTGTGAATAAGTCATCAAGTGTTCACATAATTATAAGCCCCTAATACCACCCCCTAGCTCTAGAACCTTCCTTGTCTTAGGTTGCTTCCACTGATGTTTTTCTGAAGATCTCGCTGTGGTAGTCAGTCATGTTGTTCACCAAATTTTTGTTGTTCTCCCTCTGGATTCGTGGTTGGAATGCAATTCCCTACTCCTCTTGAATCAGATGTGGCCATGTGATTCGTTCTGGCCAATGAAATGTGAGCAGAAATTATATGTTTCTTCCATGTGGCAGCTTTAAGAGCCAGTGTGTGATTTCATGTGCTACACTGCTGGAGAGAGTTGCTGGTTTAGTCGGGTACCAGAGTGAGCCCCCCAGCCAAACCTCAGTGGTCAGTTAGTGTGAACAAAAAATAACCCTTTCTTGTCATAAGCCACTGAGATTTTAGGGTTGTTTATAATCACAGCCTAATCTGCTGGTTCTCACTTGTTCAGATACTCTCAGTCATTTATCTTTCCATAGTTATAGCTCTGGTTTCCTTACGGGTTTTATATCTTGGAAAGTATATGCAGTAGCTCACATGAACTTCTCACTGTATTTTCTAGCTGGACCTCAGCTAGAAATGGTACTGTGCTGGGTAAATTGTTTTCTTTATGAAAGATTGGTTTGTTTTCTTATTCCAGAAGGAGAAGGACCAGGAGGAGGAGGAGGAGGAGAAGGAGGAGGAGGAGGAGGAGGAGGAGGAGGAGGAGGAGGAGGAGGAGGAGAGGAAGAAGGAGGAGGAGGAGGAGAAGAAGAAGAAGGAGGAGGAGGAGAAGGAG